TATATATATATATATATATATATATATATATATATAAAAAAATGTTAATTCAACTCTCATACTATCATCAACGTTCAAATTGACTGGTTTGTGAAGTTAGTAATGCAATTTGTCTTGAGTTAGGGAGAGGGGAGGAATGACACGCCTGGGAGATTACTTGAGGAGGCTGGGATGGGGTGACAGTGTCCTGGGTGAGGGATGCTCCTCATCTTCTATCACCTTCACCATAAATCATACAATGCACGCGCGCGCACGTAGAAAAAATATATAAGAATGCGCGCGTGCACATATTCAGTCACTCTCTCGCAACTAAACTCTTCCTACTTCATAACCATTCATCACCACACTGTATTCATCTCTCACATTCATTCTACAAGAATATAAAAAAATAGACCTGAGTGCTCTAAGAATTCTGGAAAAGTGTTCAAGAAGAGTCCGAAGGTATATCACACCAATGCTGATTGAATAGCAAAGTAAAGGAAATAAAAGAAAGGGCAGTGAAAGAAAAAAGAATCTGATGTAATTGCAATAGTGGAAACTGAAATTGATAACGTGATCTCGAATGCAATATATCCATGGGGGATACTAAGTATTATGGACAGAAAGGAAACAAAGCCATAATGGGTGAATGAAACTCCTAGTAAAAGGAAATTGGAAATTTGAGGAGCAAGAAGACTGAAATATACTAATGGATTGTTCGCTCCATCACTGGCACTCTTGACATCAAATAGAATAAAGATATTAGTAATTTACAACGTCCTCTCGTGCAAGCGGACAGCACTCAGGAGTCATAGTTCAAAGGGTTCTGCTGGGCCCAGCTAAGGCAGAAACAATGGTACAGAATTTATTTCATCTGTTACTTCTGTTCACCTAGCTGCTATGGGCTGCATCCTGGGGATGTGTGGGGGGAGGGGTGTCAGTGTGTGTGTGTGTGTGTGTGTGAGAAATATATGTAGTAGATAAGGTAGAGGAAAAATAATTCAGGAGTACATTAGACTTAGACAACTGACGATTAGAAAGACGGTGTCTAATAGCTAACAGCTAGAACCTGCAGCCACAAATAGTAAACACACACACACACACACACACACACACACACACACACACACACACACACACACACACACACACACACACACACACACACACACACACACTATTGCCTTCTAAGCAAATCCATTAAACTCTGAGGAACGAGTGTGGACACGACGAAGAATTGCCTGCTATCCGCCTTGCCTCGTCTCCCAAGCTGAAACAAATTCCTCCCCCACGACGTAATTTCCTTCCTCTGGGCTTTGTTACAGACCACAGAGCCTGACAGGGACTTCTCCAGCGAGGCGCCACCAGCTTCGTCCACCTCGCCAGTACTTGTGGAAATTTATTTCTGGCATCGATTGCTGCCAGACTTCTGCCTGACGTCTGGGTGTAGTCTGATCGGTGAGGCGCGACGGAGCTCGTTTTCTGATTGTCAGAATCGTATATACGGTTAGGTTAGGTTTTTATTAGTCTAGGAGCAGCCATGTACGATGCGTCGCGTATCTTTTAATTCTTTCGTTTTGTGGTTCGTCAGTGTTGATGACTGGATGAGTAGCTCATTGTGGGACCAGTTAATTAATCATCAATAGATAGGTATGGGACGGACATAGGCTTGTCGGTTTAGGCCGAAGTCAAATGTTTTAAGAATGATTTGAAATCATTATAGCACCCAAGGTCATTTTTATCGAGTCAGACGTAATATATGGCGTCTTAATCCACGGATTAAGGCGCCTTGTACTCCAGTTGCAATGTGCTCCTGGCGGTCCGGGTTCGAGTCACTTCTCGGGTGTGGAGTTTTCATTTGCATATATGCTTGGGGACCATTCAAGCTTATATATATATATATATATATATATATATATATATATATATATATATATATATATATATATATATATATATATATTTTTGGTAGATCCACCCACCGCAAGTAATGGAGCGGATCAAATGCTTTAAACCACTTCCTCTTATACATTACTAAGGTACAGTGATATCTGGATTAACAGCTAATAAAACTATAGGAAGAACTGAACATCAAACAGATACATTGGAGAGCTGTAATGGTGAGTGGCAATTGGTTATTAGCATGTTAATGATACAATTTGTGTGGCAGTTGTGCAGTGGTGCAGGAGAGGGCGAGTACAGTCGTTAGTGTTGTGCCTGTTTTAGCCTCTTAGTGTCCATGCTCCGTCAACCACAAGCAACCTTCCAGCCTGCTACAACTCTTCTCAGGCCTCCACAACCCTCCACAAGCCCTCGGCGACCCTCCACAACCCTCCACAACCCTCCACAAGTCCTCGGCGGCCCTCCACAACCCTCCACAACTCGCCATAACCCCTCCATATCTCTGCCCAACAGACGCATGTAAACGTAATTATCAATTCAGTGATAGGATTAACCTGTGCGCCTCTGATGTGTGCTCTCATCCTCTACACCCACGGCTGGTGCCCTGCTCCACCTGCCCCTGCTCCACCTGCCCCTGCTCCACCTGCCCCTGCTCCACCTGCCCCTGCTCCACCTGGCTCACAACCAGCTATATCAGAGTAACAGTACTTGTAGCTACTTTGGGTGTATAAGTATAAAAATGGACTGTTGTACACAAAATATAAGTTCTGTTGCTTTTGCAGAGGCCTAAGGTACCGTAAGGTAGGCCCAGGATGGCTTAGTTAAGCCTCGGACAGGTTAGGATAGTTGTAGGGTTACTGCTCTAGTAGTCAATGTGCGTGCGCACGCGCATGCGTCATGGTTGAGAGTTGAGTCGCAATGGTACAGCAAGGTTTTTGTCCGGGGGTGATTTTAGTTCATTGCCGCGTGGCACTCTTCCTATTTAATGCCAACCTTCCCATGCTGGGCATGTACCCAATGATCATTACTGTTAACAATATTGGAGAACCTAACTCAAAGGGCCATGAAGTTAGAACCTCGGACAACCTGACACACAAACATTTCCATTTATGAATACTTTAGAATACCTGGCTAGGCCTCTCCTCCCTTCCCCTCTCTGTCATCTCCCACCCCCTCCTTCCCCTCTCCCTCACTCTCTCCATCTCTGTCTCCCCTCTCTTCCAGTTTCCATTCTCTCACCCAATATTCCCCCCTCTCTCACCTCTCCTCCTTTCTTCCCTCTCGACAAATATCCTCCTCCTTCCTTCTGTTCCTGAAAATTTATATAACTTTTTTTTATTAGTATTAATCCATGAGGCACATCTGCATTAGTGCAGCTGCCCTAGACTATATGAAGTGGAGTACAGTGTGTCAAAAAGCTAAGTACGTGATGCTTAAAAAATCCCCATCACACAGGCTGGTTAGTCATACAGAGGCATGTGATCAGTAGTCTGCACTGGCAGACTCCGGATGCACTTTGAAGATATCAACACAAGAGGGAATATGGTAGCTGTGATAATAAGTCCTCATCTCGCAGGATGAAACAAACTGGCGAATAAGTCTACGGACAACGCAACCACTATTTCAGTATTAACTTTTTGAAAATCATAGCCCGTGCTACTTGGAACCTTTTGTTCCCAGTAGCTGAATCTAACACATACAACAAGAGGAGTGTGGCACAGGAGCCAATTCCGCCTGGCTTATGCCACTCCACCACCCTCCTTCCATGTTTCCTGTGTGAACATTGAGGTAAGGCGTAGCTCCCACGAACCTTTCGGACACACACAAGCCATCACACATACAAACAAACACATCTTTTACCGATATGGATACATATGCGAGCCGCTAGATTCATCTTTGATGACGTTCCTTCACGTTAAAGATTCCATGACAGAATATGACAGATTTAGACCACCAAATACCAGCAGGTGTCATGGACCATGAGGGCCACCATCAGGATAACATCAGCAGCATATGCGACGCTGGCAAATGTAAGAACATAGAAAGGAATCAAGTCTCATTCAAGGTAATCTACACAACATTTGTTGGACCAATACTGGAATACGCAGCACCGGCGTGGAATTGGGAGAAGTAGGACAATAGGACACAGGTGGAAGCTGGAAACACAAATGAGCCGAAGGAAGGTAAGGAAGTGCTCGTACCCTGTACTGGTGGATCACGTGGAGTGCGCTGAAAGAAGGTGTGGAAGCCACCTCCATCCACAACTTTAAGGCCTGCATTCGGCAAATAATTTGAACGACAAAATAGATAATCTGCGACGCAACGGGTACAAGGCTGGTAGGCGGGGTATGAAGAGCTAGACCTCACTCTCCCGTAGACACTGATAGGTAAGTACTACCACCCACTACCAACTACTCCACCCATCTACCACCACCACCACCACCACCGGCCAGCGGGAGGGAGCGGACATCAACACAGGGGCCCACCGTAGACCAAGTCAAGTCAATAGTTCCCGCTCCTCCCTCCACTCTTGGCCCTCAGGCCTTGCTGTACCCAGGGTACTCCCCCCCCCCCTCTCTCTCTCTCTCTCTCTCTCTCTCTCTCTCTCTCTCTCTCTCTCTCTCTCTCTCTCTCTCTCTCTCTCTCTCTCTCTCTCTCTCATTATCTGAACAGTTATTATATGAACAGTCTCTGCATCTTAAAAATACATTTTCTGAGAGAAGGATGGGGGGGGGGAGGGGAGGCATGAAGAGAGGAGAAACCAAGGGGATGGGGACGAGGGGGAGGACAAGGGGGGGGGATGAAAAAGGGACGAAAAGGGGGGGGGAAGGTGTAAAGACAGGTGAAGAGACCCGGGTTCAGCCGGTTACCACTTCAATATACATAAATAAAAATACCTGTACGAGGTTAGTGTAGAAGGAGGGAAGGGTAGGGAGATAGAGGTGGTGAGAGGGAGGGGGGGAGGTAGTGAAATGAGTGGGGAAGGGGGAAGAGGGGGAGTGGGGGGGAAATAAGGCTTATAATTAACCATCATATAAGGCTACATTAAGCCTTATGCTGCTCTGTGAGCTCCTCTTGTTGTTGTTGTTTAAGATTCGCTACCTGGAACAAAAAGTTCCAAGTAGCACGGCCTATGGTGAGCCCGTAGTCTTGACCAACGTGCATGAGCTAATGACGACCAGGTTAGTGTGGATTACCTCTAGAAACTCCTAAACAAAAATACGTCAGAAATAAGTCACTTCACTGGAATTTAAGGTGGCTGACTCGAACCTCAGACTCACCAGACCGCATCATTGACTTCATGCGGACTTTTTAAAAGCGAGTCGGGATAGTAGAGAGATAACCACCTGTTGGCCAATCAGGAGCAAGAGGCTGAAGCCAAGTGCGTGAGCAGATACACTCTGCTCCATCCACGTACAAAGTGCCGGCTGGAGTACTGGGGGATTTAGAGTGAATCTAAACTTGCTGCCTGACCTCTTCTGCATTTTGAGAGTGACAGTCACCCTTGAGGGCTAAAGTTGAGTGGCAGCCGAGAATCTCCGGCCGTAATGGCGTGTCATGTGTTGCTTCTATGTCTTACGCAAGCCACCAGTTTACTGGTGGCTTGCGTAAGACTTGCGTAACTATTGACAACATATACAGGTTACATAAAACTTGCCAATCATTACCACTCTGAACTCCAGTAAGATACTGCTAAGTTAAACTGGTCAAGCTTAAAGTACATAACACTCACCAACATTGCTCTTCTAGACTTCAACTAGTGACTGACTAGTTGAACTAGGCTCAAGCTAAAGTTACAGCAAACTTGGCCCACATTTTAACTGCAGTATCAGTATTACTAAGTTAAAGTGGCTAAGCTGGACTCAGTGTGAACTTTATCACAACTTTCAAGTCAGCATGGACTATCAATGCAAAGCTTCACAAGACCCGGCAAAGTTAAAGTAACTAGGACTGGGCAACTTAAAAGTCTAGACCTTAACAAAGTTAGTCACTGGGATGGACTCAACACCCTCAAGTCCCCAGGGACTGCCATATTCACAGTCAAACAAAAATTTACTGACAAAAATTTAGACCCAAATGGGTTGACAAAAATCATAGTTCCCTTCACAGACTGACAATAAAATGATGGAGAAGTGACAATAAGGAACATTGATAATAATTATATATATATATATATATATATATATATATATATATATATATATATATATATATATAATATGTATATTTATATATATAATATGTATATTTATATCATAAAATTTGTAAAAAAAATTAAAGCGTGTGTTAGAATAAGAGGTTATGAGGTCTGTGATTAACCCCCAAGTCTCCGGAGGTCAACACGCTTGCACAAAGCTCCGGAAGTAATCACTAGAATCTCTCTCTCTCTCTCTCTCTCTCTCTCTCTCTCTCTCTCTCTCTCTCTCTCTCTCTCTCTCTCTCTCTCTCTCTCTCTCTCTCTCTCTCTCTCTCTCTCTCTCATCCTGGTACCCGTTGACGGCTCTATTAGAGCAGGCAGGCAACAGGAGTCTGGCATCATGCTGGAGGCTCTATGGGTATTCTGATTTCAGGTTTACATTTTTCTTGATGCGTTCCGTCCTCTCTTTGCCTATAGCTTCTTCAAGATATTGAAGCAACAGATGGAGAAATGTGTTCATGCATCTTGGAAGACTGTGCAGTTGAGCAGTTGACGACGCTGGACCATTGATGCAAACATTAACCTTGTTGTTTCAATATTTGTTTTATTTTTCTTCAAGAAATCATTATTCAGGTATTTGATATGTTTTCAGAGTGACTCTTACTTGTGAAGTAGTATTTTGGACGCCAGAGACATCCAAAGGTCTTGCTTCAGCGGACATCACCAGGGTGACATCAACACGTGACTGACATCAACGTTGCAACACTCAAAAGGGTTATAACACTGCATATTGTTGACATCACAAGGATAACATCACTCCAATTAGCATTACAAAGGGTGACATCACATGGGTGACATCAGCCCTCGGGCTGACTTCAGGACGTTGCTGACACAAACCTTCCACACCTCGCATTAAAAGTCTGAACACAGCAGGAAAGTCATTTCTCTAATGGACAGAAGAGGACGCAGGCGCGCACGCGCGCGCACGAGACATAATCACGTCTATATTTCCAAGAGAGAGAGCGGGAGATTAAGAGTTTAAAGGCGGCTTTATCTTGGTGTGTGTGTGGGGCCTTGAGGCTCAACCTGTACTTGTCCCCGCTTGGTGGGGGGGTAAGTGGGCTCTTGGTGGGGGAGAAGATAGAGATGGGAAGACAGAGATAGTTGATGGGGGGGGAAGATAGTTGGCGGGGGAGGAAGGGGGAAGGAGGAGGGTTGGGGATGATAGCCAGCCATCAACTGGTGTCGTTAGTGGTGGAGGTGAGGACATGAGGCTAGCCCCACCACTAACATGACGCCCCTCCCACGATCCCCACGCCCCTACCATGCCCCCCACGCCCCCCACGCCCCCCATGCCCTACCATGCCCCCCACGCCCCCCCACAAGAGTTGGAGAGGGACTTGACACCCACCTATCTCACCATACAGTGTCTCGACGGAGCCCTTGGCGGCCTCTCCCAAGACCAAATGACATGTGTCTCCACCAGCCACAGTATTTAGAACAGGTCTGATACACTTGGAGGTCATCGTTTGGCTCCCCTGAGTGTCTGATGTGCAGTGCCAGCCCCCTCATGGTCGCTAACACACACACACTGTGCACTCCCATGGAGAGGGGGTGGATGCTGACATCTCGTGGGTGTCATATCAAGAGATGCTGTATAGCTTACTCCCTCCCCCAGCATCCCAGCTCCATCTCCCCGACCCCCCCCCCCCCCCCCGGGCAAGGTCACAACACGGCCAAAGCGCTCCCGCTCGTCCACTATAAGCAGCCTGGTTGAACTTGGCACCATTGGTTGATTTTACCCCTTGTCGTTAATGAATTTGGGTCGCCTAGTTAAATATATCCCAGAGCTGACCTTTCAATATATTGTTTAGATGAGAGAAGAATTCAGTTCTGTGGTTCTCGTGGAGCTCTGTGGTTCTCATGGAGCTCTGTGGTTCTCGTGGGGCTCTGTGGTTCTCATGGAGCTCTGTGGTTCTCGTGGGGCTCTGTGGTTCTCAGGGAGCTCTGTGGTTCTTGTAGAGCTCTGTGGTTCTTGTGGAGCTCTGTGGTTCTTGTGGAGCTCTGTGGTTCTCGTGGAGCTCTGTGGCTCTCGTGGAGCTCTGTGGTTCTCGAGGACTTACTTTCTTGTCTCCGTCTCGTGGGGTATCTCAGGAACTTGTCCTCTCTCATCCTCTCGTAATAATTCTCACCTGAAACGCTACACAAGTTCTCATGGCAATTCCCACAGAATCTCACGAGCTAAATTCCTGTTGGTAGGTCTTAGCCTACTTTCTTATCTGGGGGATGTGCTTGGTCCAGAGTGGAGCTGGGCCCGTCTCTTGCCCTTTCCTGTCCTCTCCTGTCCTTTCTCATCACCTGTCCCTTTTCTCTCTCTCTCTCATTACCTGCTTCCCGTCCGTGTCTTGGGGGTCGAGCGACAACACCCGCTACCGTCTTGAAGGCTGAATAATCGAACCATCGAGCTGTATGTGTGATTCTGTCTATATTAAGTCAGCTTCCTTCTGTCTCGTTCCTCTCGTTCACAGACAGACAGACAGACAGGTGTGTAAAGCAGCCCCTGGGCTGTCCTACACACCTGCCCTACACAGACAGGTGTGTAGGGCAGCCCCTAGGAGTGAGCACCCACTCTTATTGGCTCGTTTGGCTGTGTTTCCTGGTCGCCTGGATACGGTAGGTGATTAAAGGTCACCGTTCGACATCTCTGTCGAGGTCACGGATGGTTGTTACCTGAGGAGAAGGTAGTTCATGGTGGTAGTTACCTGAGGGGAAGGTAGTTCATGGTGGTAGTTACCTGAGGGGAAGGTAGTTTATGCTGGTAGTTATCTGAGGGAAAGGTGGTTTATGGTGGAAGTTACATGAGGGGAAGGTAGTTTATGGTGGTAGTTACCTGAGGGGAAGGTAGTTTATGGTAGAAGTTACATGAGGGGAAGGTAGTTCATGCTGGAAGATGCCTGGAAGAGGGGAGAGATGATCCAATATGACTGCTGACAGCATAAGACAGGACACACAGGACCAGATTACAAGATTCCAGGATTTATTGAATTTCTGGGGAGGACACCGTTGCTGTGAGGGTGTCTTTGGTGCCTGGTGATTGGTCCCTGATCCCCCCCCCTTGAGGCGTCCCTGTCCCCCCCTGAGGCGTCCCTAATCCCCCCTGAGGCGTCTCTAAAGGCGTCTCCCTCAGGCGTTTAACTCAGGGCGTCGTGAGTTGGGATGTTGAACTGGATAGTGGAGGCGGAGAGAGAGGGAGAGAAACGTTCTCTCTCTCTCTCTCTCTCTCTCTCTCTCTCTCTCTCTCTCTCTCTCAAGCAGGCGGCTCTGGAGTCGAGGGAAGGAAAAGTCAAATCTGTATCAAGAAACAAATTTTGGTCCTGAATGAATTCCGTGGCTTGAGGGTATTTTATGCTGCCCCAGCTGGTGAGGGAGGGTGAGGGAGAGAGGGAGAGAGAGAGAGAGAGAGAGAGAGAGAGAGAGAGAGAGAGAGAGAGAGAGAGAGAGAGAGAGAGAGAGAGAGAGAGAGAGAGAGGGAGGCTGGGAAGGAGTGAGGTGTGTGTAGGTAAGGGGTGTGTGTGGGGGGGGGGGGAGGGGGTAGAGTTTTCAGTCATAACATCACACAAGTAATTTCCTCTGAGTAACATTACTCTGATGGACCTGATTTCCCTCTCGGGTTGTCCCTCAGATTGGACTGAGACGCCTCGTGTGTGTGTGTGTGTGTGTGTAGCCCACTCAGAAATGTGCAGCCCTCAGCCCTCCTCCTCCTCAGCTCTACGAGTACCATCTACCAACAGCACTAGAATATCTACCAGGAAGAGTAATGAAACTGGAAATCAGTTTTTACACTTCCAGATTAGCAATATGAGTTTCCCGGCGGTGACTGCCCATTAATCAGGGGCTTAATACCCACCTCAATAAATCACTCAGACTCTGGTTACCTTTCTCCGCTCTAAGAGGAGCGGGGCTGTAATTACCGCTAGTTACAATTGCCCCAATTAGCACGGGTTGGTGCCGAAAGCCGGCTAATTATCTGCAATTATTATAATAAGGGGTAACTAGAGCAGGTGCCAGATGTACGGGATTGTGTTGCGCATGTTGTGCTTGTTTTGAGTGCGTGCGTGCGTGCGTTCGTTCTTATCTGCGTTCGAGAGGGGGGGGGAGAGGCATTTTTCGCGTGGTTGTGTTAGTATGGTGCTTATGTGTGTTTCCTCTTGTACCTATTTGCGTTAATGTGTATTCTTAGTTATTTGCGTCAGTGCGTATTCTTAGCTGTTTGCTAAGAATAGCTGTCTGGTGCTGAGGGAGGTGCTGGTCGAGGTGGCTTCCACGACTTCGGCTTCATCTGTGTTGTAATTGCCCCCTCCCCTTACTTTTCACCTACCAGCGCTAAATATCAGTTTGCTTCTCAAGCTGATTTGTGTTTCCTGTTTCCCACCGTCTCGTATCCCAGCTCTTAGTCTGTCTCATATCCCAGCTCATAAAGTCATAATAAGGTTTTCTCCTAAGAGTTAACATACCTTGCTCTGACCTTGTGTGTCGAGCCCCTCGGTGCTTTTGTGTCGAGGCTTCAAGGCCGGTCTGACGAGGCTGTTTCCCTATTAAGTTCCTCTTATAGCGCGAATATATATATATATATATATATATATATATATATATATATATATATATATATATATATATATATATATATATATATATATATATATATATATATACCTCGTGACACGAGTCTTGGAGGTAGGTTGGAAATGCGAAACCGCTTATCTTGTTCTAAATTTATAGGGAGGGAGAGAAACAAGATGGAGAGAGAGAGTAAGAGTGTTTGGAGGGAGGGAGAGGGAATGAGGGAGAGAGAAAGGGAGGACGTGATAGACAGGAGTTTGGAAGCAGATCAGAGATATGAGACCGAGATGGAGGCCGAGATGGAGGCCGAGATGGAGGCCAGGATGGAGGCCAAGATGGAGGCCGAGATGGAGGCCAGGATGGAGGCCAGGATGGAGGCCAGGATGGAGGCCGAGATGGAGGCCGAGATGGAGGCCAGGATGGAGGCCAGGATGGAGGCCAGGATGGAGGCCAGGATGGAGGCCGAGATGGAGGCCAGGATGGAGGCCAGGATGGAGGCCGTGATTTAGGCCAGGATGGAGGCCGTGATTTAGGCCAGGATGGAGGCCAGGATGGAGGCCGAGATGGAGGCCAGGATGGAGGCCGTGATTTAGGCCAGGATGGAGGCCGAGATAGAGGCCAGGATGGAGGCCAGGATGGAGGCCAGGATGGAGGCCGAGATGGAGGCCAGGATGGAGGCCAGGATGGAGGCCAGGATGGAGGCCGAGATGGAGGCCGAGATGGAGGCCAGGATGGAGGCCAGGATGGAGGCCGAGATGGAGGCCAGGATGGAGGCCGTGATTTAGGCCAGGATGGAGGCCAGGATGGAGGCCGTGATTTAGGCCAGGATGGAGGCCGAGATGGAGGCCAGGATGGAGGCCGTGATTTAGGCCAGGATGGAGGCCAGGATGGAGGCCGAGATGGAGGCCAGGATGGAGGCCAGGATGGAGGCCGTGATTTAGGCCAGGATGGAGGCCAGGATGGAGGCCGTGATTTAGGCCAGGATGGAGGCCAGGATGGAGGCCAGGATGGAGGCCGTGATTTAGGCCAGGATGGAGGCCAGGATGGAGGCCGAGATGGAGGCCAGGATGGAGGCCGTGATTTAGGCCAGGATGGAGGCCGTGATGGAGGCCAGGATGGAGGCCGAGATTGAGGCCAGGATGGAGGCCGTGATTTAGGCCAGGATGGAGGCCGTGATTTAGGCCAGGATGGAGGCCAGGATGGAGGCCGTGATTTAGGCCAGGATGGAGGCCAGGATGGAGGCCGTGATTTAGGCCAGGATGGAGGCCAGGATGGAGGCCAGGATGGAGGCCGTGATTTAGGCCAGGATGGAGGCCAGGATGGAGGCCGTGATTTAGGCCAGGATGGAGGCCAGGATGGAGGCCGTGATTTAGGCCAGGATGGAGGCCGAGATTGATGCCAGGATGGAGGCCAGGATGGAGGCCAGGATGGAGGCCGTGATTTAGGCCAGGATGGAGGCCGTGATGGAGGCCAGGATGGAGACCAAGATGGAGGCCAAGATGGAGGCCAGGATGGAGGCCAGGATGGAGACCAAGATAGAGACACTGTGTACAGAACAACACAATTTCTCGAGATTCACAACTTTGTCAGATCAAAACAAAAAATACAAATCTTTTGATTTTTTAAGAAATAACTTTCAAAATATTTACTAGCTTAAATAGCCAAAATATTTAGAACATGTCCACATATATATATATATATATATATATATATATATATATATATATATATATATATATATATTACAAAAAAGGAGTTACATATAAGGTACAAAGATGATTATCCCAAGTTGACGAGTTCCTCCAGCTCCTCAGATGGCGGGGAGGAACCCTGAATTCAGTGTACATTCCCCCTCTGTATATATAGATTATATTATGTAATATATCAGCGCGGCCCGTTTATGTGCCAGAATTTGATGAAAAAGTGTACCTAAATGGATCCACGAGTGTGGTCGGGGGATGGTTAGTCGTGGGGATTAGTTAATAAGCACCAGGTCTGACCAATCCTGATAGACGATCAATGGTGCGGTGGTCACGGTACTGTGTACGTTTAGGGGTGATCCTGGACGGCATGGGTTCGAATCCTGGTCGGTCAAATGTGAGTTCTTAGTGATCTATGGCTTGCGCGTTCATTCAGTCTTTCATATATATATATATATATATATATATATATATATATATATATATATATATATATATATATATATATATATATATATATATATCTTGGTTTATTTGGAAGAAGGAATTTCTACAAATGCCTTACTTGTTCAAGGTTGACTAAAACAAATTAAAGTAACTGTATTCTACAGTTAATTTGTTACGAATCAACTGTCATACAACAGTCCAACTGATCCCTGGGTTGTTATAGTATTTTGTAACAGGTTTCTAGTTAAGTGTTGTGTTATATTCACTTTGTATATGGTTTCTAAGGGCATCAGCTGATAGATAGCAGCTTTATAAGTAGATTGAAGGTGATATCCCTCATTATGGAGTGTAAACTGGTGTACCAAGTTTGCCTTTAGGAAGAGGGTTGTATTCTATATTGGGGGCGGTTCCTAGAGCATTAAATCAGCTGTTCTTTTGTTTTGTTTTTGAGGTAAATATTGAATTCCAGCCTTTGGTTCTGGGAGGTCGGTTGTACTCCATTTGAAATTTTGTTTTTGGTTATACTTTCTTCTATTTTATTCTGTGAGTTCATAGTTTGCTTCTCAAGCTGATTTGTGTTTCCTGTTTCCCACCGTCTCGTATTCCCCCCAGCTCTTAGTCTGTCGCATATCCCAGCTCTTAGTCTGTCGCATATCCCAGCTCTTAGTCTGTCTCATATCCCAGCTCTTAGTCTGTCGCATATCCCAGCTCTTAGTCTGTCGCATATCCCAGCTCTTAGTCTGTCTCATATCCCAGCTCTTAGTCTGTCGCATATCCCAGCTCTTAGTCTGTCGCATATCCCAGCTCTTAGTCTGTCGCATATCCCAGCTCTTAGTCTGTCTCATATCCCAGCTCTTAGTCTGTCGCATATCCCAGCTCTTAGTCTGTCTCATATCCCAGCTCTTAGTCTGTCTCATATCCCAGCTCTTAGTCTGTCGCATATCCCAGCTCTTTGTCTGTCGCATATCCCAGCTCTTAGTCTGTCGCATATCCCAGCTCTTAGTCTGTCTGTTCTTGTAATAGAACTTTATGGGTCGGGGTTGCTTGCTGTTGCGCCAGTTGTTGTTCTCGCAGAGAACAAGATATATAAAGATAAGATATATTATCTTATTATATGTAAGATTATATATACAATCTTATATATTGTATATATTAAAATATATAAGACAGGTATGAACCTGACAGGTATGACTGGTTCATACAAGTCTTATATATTGTAATATATATAAAATGTATTAGAATCTTTATAAGGTATTTTGAAAATGACACAGTTTTTACTACGAGCACTATTTCTGACTAATAATATTCCGGCAGTATTTTCATCAATAAAACCCCACAATGTACATCAACAAATTTCAAGATCTTCAAAAAATTTTCGAAACTAGAAAAATATGCTAAGCATTTTACATGTTATGAGGGGAGGAATTTTCTTATTGCTGATTCTATTATAATACGAACATTGAGCTTTCCTGCGACAAGCTTCAAGGAAGCTTAGTGGATAACAAAGCTTAAAACCAATAGAATCAATATTTTCAAACTCAAAATTCAGTGCCCCAAAGGTCACTATGGATTCCAGGATGAGGGATGAAATGTTGCCCAATCAAGGGCACTGGGTAAGCTCCTTCTGCATTCTTATTGGTCGGCTGCGGTAGTAGGCGTGGTTTTATGTGGCAATTTTGTGCTGGTGTTGTGGATGGGTGGTCGTTACTAAGTGAACGGTCGCTGTTGAGAGGTGTGTTCTCCCGTCTTGAAGACATACAGACAGGAGAGAGAGAGGGACAGAGAGACAGATTTTTTTTTTATCCTTGCAAATACATTCCGTCCATGTCAGTGGTGGAACCATGTGTAATCCATGTGGAGAACGTCAATATTATAACAAATGAAATTTGACTTGATATATTGGGATGCCAGTGAGGGAACGACCAAAATAATCCATAGCTATCTGAAGAAAAAGGTCGAAAAGATTTTGGTCGAATTTTTCGACCAGAATCGTTCGAAATTTTGTTCGACGAATCTGCTAACATCGTCGTTTCTCCATTTTCTAAATGTGGGGTTTGGTCTTCACTCTGGTCGACCTCCAGAGACGGTCGTTATAATGGCTACTTCAATTTAACCAGACACCTCGCCTTGCCCGGGAATAGAACCCGGGACCGATCAGTTGTGAGTAACCAGTGATTGAGAATGAATAAAATCCCATTTTTCCCCCATATTTTTGGGGGTAACTTTGAGGAACGTTGATATATCATCTTCCCAAATAATAGTAGATAAAAACACAAATAATATAGATCAAAGGGAATAATGTACAGGAAACTCTTTTTAAATATATTTACATTAATATCATTGTTTTGAATGTGTTATCTGAAGGTTCTATACGTGATCAGTTTTCTTTCTGCGGGGCTCTGATGACACTTTTTAGTCGTGTTCAGTGTTCACACCAGTGAGAACCTCCAGGGCGGCCTCTTGTGTTCAGTGTTCACACCAGTGAGAACCTCCAGGGCAGCCTCCTGTGTTCAGTGTTCACACCAGTGAGAACCTCCAGGGCGGCCTCCTGTGTTCAGTGTTCACACCAGTGAGAACCTCCAGGGCGGCCTCCTGTGTTCAGTGTTCACACCAGTGAGAACCTCCAGGGCGGCCTCCTGTGTTCAGTGTTCACACCAGTGAGAACCTCCAGGGCGGCCTTCTGTGTTCAGTGTTCACACCAGTGAGAACCTCCAGGGCACCCTCCTGTGTTCAGTGTTCACACCAGTGAGAACCTCCAGGGCAGCCTCCTGTGTTCAGTGTTCACACCAGTGAGAACCTCCAGGGCGGCCTCTTGTGTTCAGTGTTCACACCAGTGAGAACCTCCAGGGCGGCCTCCTGTGTTCAGTGTTCACACCAGTGAGAACCTCCAGGGCAGCCTCTTGTGTTCAGTGTTCACACCAGTGAGAACCTCCAGGGCACCCTCCTGTGTTCAGTGTTCACACCAGTGGGAACCTCCAGGGCAGCCTCCTGTGTTCAGTGTTCACACCAGTGAGAACCTCCAGGGCGGCCTCCTGTGTTCAGTGTTCACACCAGTGAGAACCTCCAGGGCACCCTCCTGTGTTCAGTGTTCACACCAGTGGGAACCTCCAGGGCATCCTCCTGTGTTCAGTGTTCACACCAGTGGGAACCTCCAGGGCATCCTCCTGTGTTCAGTGTTCACACCAGTGGGAACCTCCAGGGCATCCTCCTGTGTTCAGTGTTCACACCAGTGAGAACCTCCAGGGCAGCCTCCTATGTTCAGTGTTCACACCAGTGAGAACCTGATTGGCAGCTGAATGAATAACCCAGGTGAATAACCTTCACTATTCAGTAGACACACAGGTGAGAGAGAGGGTGGAGGCCGGCCAAACAATAAGGGCCAAATATCGACAAAAATTCCCATCATCTCCTACACTAATGAGGACCCCTAGAGACCCACATCCCACAACGTATTATCAAACTGAATAAAAATGGCATTCTGGCGATGGCAACTGGTGATTTGTATGACACGGGAACGGATGTGGATTTTGATAACCTGGGGCGTCTGATGGCAGATACCATTCAGGTTGGGGGGGATTGGTGGCAATTGATGGCACTGGCACTAGTGGTGTGGCAGGTGTTGACACCGTGGCACTGGTGTTGCGCTGGTTCGTTTGAGCGCGAGTGGCACTGGTTCAAGGCGGGGAGCAGCTGTGTGGGCTCCTACAGGTACGTTCTCTCAGCTTTTAAGGTGTAAGATGACGGTTCTCTGTCGACGTCAGAAAGCTTCGGGCGACATGAGGCTCTACCCAGCATGACCTGATAACCTTAGAGGAAGGTCAGTCATCGCATGTTGGTCACCTGTGTGTGTGTGTGTGTGTGTGTGTGTGTGTGTGTGTGTGTGTGTGTGTGTGTGTGTGTGTGTGTGTGTCATCGCAACGATTGTGAGTCGATCACAATCGACTTGAGAATGGTCCAGGACGGACCGAAACGTCGTCGTCCCTTCATCTTCTAGTGTGTGGTCTGGTCAACATGACTTATCATTTTTGTAACTCGTTTTGTCCAAATATTCATCATTCATCCGACAGAAGATGGCGCCGTCACTTCCCAACCTTAACACTTTACACTTATCAACGATGATTTGCATCTACAGATGCCATTTGCATCTTCACTTTTGGCCACTGCCAAAACTCTGTCAAGTTTTGAAGGGAAGCCAGTCTTATTCCGTGACCACTTGATCAGTCAGGCTGTTAATGCTTGCAGCGACCCACAAGCTGACATATCTATAAGAACCAGACTGATAGGCCACTTCCTGCAGGAAATTGTCCAGTTTCCCCTTAATGTCTTTCCCCTTACCTAACATACAGACAGTATACCACTACTAACCAGCAACTGGATGGGTGACCATGCAGACCAAACAGTCCCTAGGGGTTAGAGAGATCCTAGGGGATATATGGACCGGGTATACCCCCATATACCCATACAAAGGGGCACACAGGGGAAAAAGGAGTTAGGGAAACATTGCAGCATATGTTGGCCGGATAGACAGACTTTAATGTCTATTCCATTTGATGGGGACGTTTGACAAGGGACCAGGCTAGCTGTAAGAGGACGTTTGACAGGGGGCCAGGCTAGCTGTAAGAGGACGTTTGACAGGGGACCAGGCTAGTTGTAAGAGGACGTTTGACAGGGGACCAGGCTAGCTGTAAGGGGACGTTTGACAGGGGACCAGGCTAGCTGTAAGGGGACGTTTGACAGGGGACCAGGCTAGCTGTAAGAGGACGTTTGACAGGGGGCCAGGCTAGCTGTAATGGGACGTTTGACAGGGGACCAGGCTAGCTGTAAGAGGACGTTTGACAGGGGGACCAGGCTAGTTGTAAGAGGACGTTTGACAGGGGACCAGGCTAGCTGTAAGAGGACGTTTGACAGGGGACCAGGCTAGCTATAAGGGGACGTTTGACAGGGGACCAGGCTAGCTGTAAGAGGACGTTTGACAGGGGGCCAGGCTAGCTGTAAGAGGACGTTTGACAGGGGACCAGGCTAGCTGTAAGAGGACGTTTGACAGGGGACCAGGCTAGCTGTAAGGGGACGTTTGACAGGGGACCAGGCTAGCTGTAAGGGGACGTTTGACAGGGGACCAGGCTAGCTGTAAGGGGACGTTTGACAGGGGACCAGGCTAGCTGTAAGAGGACGTTTGACAGGGGGCCAGGCTAGCTGTAATGGGACGTTTGACAGGGGACCAGGCTAGCTGTAAGAGGACGTTTGACAGGGGGACCAGGCTAGCTGCAAGAGGACGTTTGACAGGGGACCAGGCTAGCTGTAAGAGAACGTTTGACAGGGGACCAGGCTAGCTGTAAGGGGACGTTTGACAGGGGACCAGGCTAGCTGTAAGAGGACGTTTGACAGGGGGCCAGGCTAGCTGTAATGGGACGTTTGACAGGGGACCAGGCTAGCTGTAAGAGGACGTTTGACAGGGGACCAGGCTAGCTGTAATGGGACGTTTGACAGGGGACCAGGCTAGCTGTAATGGGACGTTTGACAGGGGACCAGGCTACCTGTAAGGGGACGTTTGACAGGGGGACCAGGCTAGCTGTAAGAGGACGTTTGACAGGGGGACCAGGCTAGCTGTAAGAGGACGTTTGACAGGGGGACCAGGCTAGCTGTAAGAGGACGTTTGACAGGGGGACCAGGCTAGCTGTAAGAGGACGTTTGACAGGGGACCAGGCTAGCTGTGAGGGACGTTTGACAGGGGACCAGGCTAGCTGTAATGGGACGTTTGACAGGGGACCAGGCTAGCTGTAATGGGACGTTTGACAGGGGACCAGGCTACCTGTAAGGGGACGTTTGACAGGGGACCAGGCTACCTGTAAGGGGACGTTTGACAGGGGAACAGGCTAGCTGTAAGAGGACGTTTGACAGGGGACCAGGCAAGCTGTAATGGGACGTTTGACAGGGGACCAGGCTAGCTGTAAGAGGACGTTTGACAGGGGGACCAGGCTAGCTGTAAGAGGACGTTTGACAGGGGACCAGGCTAGCTGTGAGGGGACGTTTGACAGGGGGACCAGGCTAGCTGTGAGGGGACGTTTGACAGGGGACCAGGCTAGCTGTAAGAGGACGTTTGACAGGGGACCAGGCTAGCTGTAAGAGGACGTTTGACAGGGGACCAGGCTAGCTGTGAGGGGACGTTTGACAGCACAGACTCCCGCATTTCACTGTGACAAAGGAGAATTGATCTATCAGATATAAACAAATCCGGATATCATGAAAAAACGTTGCCTGATGAGTCGGGTCGAAACGTTGCCGGATGAGTCTTGTAAAAATGTCGTCGGATGAATCAGTTAAAAATATTTTTGATGAATTAGGTGCTAGATAAGTCAAGTGAAAATAACAACTATTTACAATTCTAATTTCGGAGTAAAATATACAATTCCGCGGATGAAAATGACATAAGGTAATACATTTTGCCGACACTTCACAGTTCCCAACTCCAATATAATCCTACTCTCGTGTGGTTGTGGGTGGCAGTGGGCGGCAGTGGGCGGCAGTGGGCGGCAGTTACGGGCTGCCAGTGGGCGGCAGGCAGTTATGTTGCCTCTAGTGGGATGAGCTGGACTAAGACGTTCCTAAAGAGTGAGGGGACAACTAAGGAGATGCCTGAGTTTTGGATCCGGGAGTGAGGCGGGACCTGGAGCTAAGTACCAAGCCGTGTGGTTGCTAGACACCCCCTAGTCACTTAACCAAGTGACAATGAGTAATTACATATGACCGTTCCGGAGTAAATTATATATATATATATATACAAACCCTAACCGACTCAGCCACGATGGTACAAAAGTCGACCAACTTGCAACTCTACTGAATTTACTGGGAGGTTCCAGGAGGCCCCAAACCGGAGCCCGAACAGGGTTTCTACAGTCGACCCGACCACACTCTGGCCAACAGGTAACGGTGTTCCACACTTCTTTACTTTGCACTCACATCACAGAGAAATCACAATTGCGAGATATATCAGTGAAAATAATTTTGAGAGCCCTGGAGTGACTCGAACCCGCGTTTTTTGGTGAATTTGGTGAAAATCAAAATGATTTTCCACTGATATATCACCCCAGAAAATGTAGAAGTCTGTGATTTCTACCCTGTGAGATACAGTGAATGTGGTTTAATAGTACACCGTTACTGGTCGTTTTTAACAGTCGGGCATCACCTGTGAGACATTACCTGTTGGACGTTTCCTGTTGGACGTCTCCTGTTGGACGTCTCCTGTTAGATATCAAAGCAGGACCTGGATATTATGCTAAAAAAAATCTTTCCTTTTCTCCCTGAAATTTTCTGTAATATTTCCCTGCCTCGTCCCCTTAAACCCGGGGCAGGATCTTTCCCTCCCCACACTAATGTAATCAGTGAGGCCCACTAATACATCCTCCTCCACACCCAGGTAACAAAATTCATCCGAATGTTGTAGTAAATGTTTGGCTGAGAGGGCTGGGAGGGTGGTCTCGCTTGCGGAGGCGCATGCACGCACGGACGCCCGGTATCATATTTACATATATCATATCTAATCATATTTACATTTGGAAATGTATATCGAGGCAGCCACTACGACTTTTTCGTCTGACCCATTACGCATCTGTTCCGTCTCTCTCTCTCTCTCTCTCTCTCTCTCTCTCTCTCTCTCTCTCTCTCTCTCTCTCTCTCTCTCTCTCTCTCTCTCTCTACTCTCTCTCTCTCTCTCTCTATCTCTATCTCTCTCTCTCTCTCTCTCTCTCTCTCTCTCTCTCTCTCTCTCTCTCTCTCTCTCTCTCTCTCTCTCTCTCTCTCTCTCTCTCTCTCTCTCTCTCTCAACCCCAGTCAATATGTTGTGTACACATTGTTCTCAGTATCTAAAGGGGTCGTGTAACCAGTCCCACATTGCAAGTTCACTCTTATGGCCAAAAGGATATCAGATAGACTAAGAGTGTTCCATCCTCGTGGACCCATTAAACCAAAATACCCTTTTGGGGAATCCACTTGACGGAAAGGACGGACAATATTGACTTCTATACAGGGGTCATTGACCTCGTTACGAAGCCAAATAATTTGCTCGTGGTTACAGATGAGAAATTGAGAGGAACTTACGCGTGGATAGTGGATACGGAGACAGGAGTGGAGAGGTCGTAGGAGGAGGGCGGAGCCGGTGGTGTCGCTGGTGTGGAGAACGACCTCTGGCGACATAGTCGTCCTCATGGGGTCAAGGATCACACACTGGCCGTAGTGGTATAACTCACAAACACTGTCCCCCGCCTGGTCCCCCCACCACCACACTCTCTCCTCGTAATGTCACTGCTACTAGTGAATTTGCTTCTGCTAGTCACGGCTCTTGTCCTGCAGCACTGCTAGCAGAGGCTCTAACGCAACCAACAGAGGCTCTGGCACTGTTAACAGAGGGTCTCCCCGGGCAGGAGACACAGACACACACACACACACACGCACGCACACACACTCAAGCGTGGAGAGCAGTGGCACTACTGACGGTGAGGGTGGCACAGTGGCAGCGGTGCCAGTGTGCCACCGGCTACAGAAATAGACGCCAGCTTCCACTACACGTCTGCTCTCTCTCACACACACACACACACACACACACACACACACACACACACACACACACACACACACACACACACACACACACACACACACATGCCTGCTTCAGACACCACACCACACATCTGCTTCAGGTGCCCCTGCCCCTTCTCTCTTACAAGCACATGATCTTACAAACAGATGTTCTTACAAGCACATGATCTTACAAACAGATGTTCTTACAAGCACATGATCTTACAAACAGATGTTCTTACAAGCACATGATCTTACAAACAGATGTTCTTACCAGCAGATTGTCGCACACCAGCTGAAGATGTTGTACTCCTTGTTGTTGTTGTTGTTAAAGATTCGCTACTTGGAACAAAAAGTTCCAAGTAACACGGCCTATGGTGAGCCCGTAGATAGTTTTGTACTCCTGTAATGGCAATGCCTATTTATTGCCAGTTATTCCAATCACTTAAAGATTGGACCAGTTTCCTCCTACCTCAGATTTGTACTGAGGAAAAAGGTTTACACAGAGATCTGTAGAGACACATGACTATAAATATATATAATATATAGTATTATATAATATTGGTGTATTGTGGATTTTCATTTAGACATGTTTCATTGAATATGACTGCATATTCCGTGTTGATTATTTTCTTGTTTAGGGCTTCTATCTCTCTGACTAGTGCTCTTGCATCTTGGTTTAATTGGAAGAGGATTTCTCCAAATATATTACCTGTTCATGGTTGACAAAAAAGAATAAGCAGACTATATCACACTTAATATAATTTACACAATGTTTCGAACCTACAAGGTTCATTCTCAAGTGAGGAGACAGATTGATTGATGAAGATTAAGCCACCCAAAAGGAGACAGGTTGTTGTTTTTAGATTCAGCAACTGGGAACAAAAAGTTGCAAGTAGCACGGGCTATGGTGAGCCCGGAAGGGAGCCAGGAGACATACACGTCTGGGAGATCGGCTACATATAATTAGGTAAGAATGGGTAGATTATCTTGAGATTATCTTGAGATGATTTCGGGTCTTTTTAGTGTCCCCGCGGCCCGGTCCTCGACTAGGCCTCCACCCCCAGGAAGCAGCCCGTGACAGCTGACTAACACCCAGGTACCTATTTTACTGCTAGGTAACAGGAGCATAGGGTGAAAGAAACTCTGCCCATTGTTTCTCGCCGGCGCCTGGAATCGAACCCAGGACCACAGGATCACAAGTCCAGCGTGCTGTCCGCTCGGCCGACCGGCTCCCGAAGGAGTGCCGATGGGAAGGAGAAGGAATGAGAAATAACTACCGAGAGAAGGGGATACTTCACAAGAACTACCAGACTACCTGCCACCACAACCACTACCCATCACCTCCAACTACCACCTACAGGGGGGTGTAGGGGGCTCGAACCCCCGCCTCTATACTCACCCTTGTTGCATCAGTGTTCAGAACACTGGTGAACGTGAGTGTTCAGAACAGTGAAGAAGGAGCGACAAGAGCGTTCAAAATATATGAAATTCAAAACATCATTTGAGTCAAGTCAGTCAGATGAGAGTTGGCTATTAGCATATAGAATGGTTGGGCGGGGGGGGTGGATGGTTGGTTAGGGGGGAGGGATGGTTGGGGGGGGGGGATGGATAGATGGTTGGGGATGGATGGTTGGGGGGTGGATGGTTGTTTATGGATGGTTGGGGGGGGTGGGGATGGATGGTAAGAACGTCAAATTAATATTCAAGAATATTCTGTTAACATGATTTAGCAATTTGATGAGACATGTATATGTACATATATGTATGTATGTATATATATATATATATGTATGTATGTATGTATATATTTATATATGTATGTATGTATGTGTGTATATATGTATGTATATGAAGAGAACAGAGAAGAAAGGTTACAAATGAATTGTTCTCGCTACACTTGACCCATATATATATATATATATATATATATATATATTATATATATATATATATATATATATATATATATATATATATATATATATATAATATATATCCCCAATATGTATTACCAATAATTTTTGGTACACAGTCAACCAGAGCATGAATAGAATCTCACTTACAAAAATATATCCCATATCATTTGTTTACTCAAATTGTAATTCAAAAGAGAATTATGAATTATGCACAAAAAAAGCATAAAATTCCCGAATGTTTATCTATGTGAAAAAATGTTTTGGTATAAATAAAAAGTATTGCTATTTTGGGGGTGACATTGAGGCGCTTGTTCAGAGTAGCTTTTTGGACTGTGTAGTTCACTGGGTGGTATTGTCGACGGTTGTTATCAGCCCTCGTTAGTACCAGTACTATGAACTACCAGCACTGGGAACTACCATTACAGGGGAACTACCAGCGCCTGTCATTGTACATCAAGTCCACGACGGACGGGTTCAACTATCCCATTAAACTTAATAGAAAAATACCCCCCGTCTGATGCACAGGTTTCGTGTCTGTTGCCAGGGTCTGAGTGGCAGGCGGGAGGGAGAGACAGACAGACAGAGAATGATCGAAGATTGATTTACATGTTCTGAAACTCTGAATGTTTTTTTTTTTTAATCAGACGAACACTGGAGCAGATGACTGCTGACTCTGGAGCAGGTACAGTACATCCTCCTGTCACTCATCCTCCTGTCACTCATCCTCCTGATACTCATCCTCCTGTCACTCATCCTCCTGTCACTCATCCTCCTGTCACTCATCCTCCTGTCACTCATCCTCCTGTCACTCATCCTCCTGATACTCATCCTCCTGTCACTCATCCTCCTGTCACTCATCCTCCTGATACTCATCCTCTGCTAGAAATATTTCATATTAATATCCATGCCAATCTTACAATCTTACACCTTTATCAAACTTCCAGAAAAGGTGTAAATATCTAGAAGAGCTGGCAAACACTTGAAATTTTCCGAGGATTTGTGTAAATTCCAGGTACATGGTGACGACAATGGCAAAATATGGTGGTGAGCTCACCTAGGTGTTCTTGCAGGGTTGGGCGTTAGCTCCCTAGCCCTGCCTCGCCTGCCTCGCCCCACCCCTGGTTGATACAATGATTCATATGTCCGTTGTTTTTTGGAAGGTTTCTGAGTTCGTCTATTTTCTTTATGTTCTTGGTGACTCTACGTTGTGTGTGTGTGTTTATTGCTTGTGCCTGCAGGATGGAGGTGTTAGCTCTTGGGCCCCCCCTTTCTAACCGTCGGTTGTCTTATGTACTTGCTTCCGACCAAATTTCCTCCATCATATTTACTACACACACACACACACACACACACACACACACACACACACACACACACACACACACACACACACACACACACACACACACACACACGACCAAAGAGCCACATCTCAAACCCCACAAGCACAACTAGGTGAGTACACACACACACACACACACACACACACACACACAGAGGGGTCTCGCAGTTTGTTAGGTGAACATGCGCATCAGTTGAGAGAAACTCTCGCTCGACCGGGAATCGAACCCGGGCTCTTAACACTACGACCCCCCCCCCCTGAGCGCTGTCCAGTGGGCCGTGTGTGCACGCATGCGTGAGTGCTTTGCGTGCGTACTGCGTCACAGGAAGAGGCTGCTACCTCTTGCTGATTCCTCTGAAGGAATCAGCAAGACTGCTTTCATGGCAACTTCTGTGACTGCTTTCATGGCAACCTCCTTCACTGAGGACGTAGCTTCCGGGCTATTGCTAAACATTTCTGCGAACGTGGCTTGAAGCGTAGCAGTCCCAAGATATCATCTCAAGATAACCAAGATAACAGTCCCTTCCTCTGATATGTTCCTCAGCTTCCTGAGGGATGGTTGGTGTCTGGTACTGAGTTGAGCTCTCTTTGAGGCTTTTTGTCTCCTCCTTTGCTGTCTTCAGCTCATCTTGTAAGCTGCTTAGTGTGTGTGTGTGTGTGTGTGTGTGTGTGTGTGTGTGTGTGTGTGTGTGTGTGTGTGTGTACTCACCTAGTTGTGCTTGCGGGGGTTGCGCTCTGGCTCTTTGGTCCCGCCTCTCAACCGTCAGTCAACATGTGTACAGGTTTCTGAGCCTACTGGACTCTATCATATCTACACTTGAAACTGTGTATGGAGTCAGCCTCCACCACATTACTTCCTAATGCATTCCATTTGTCAACCACTCTTGACACTAAAAAAGTTCTTTCTAATATCTCTGTGGCTCATTTGGGCACTCAGTTTCCACCTGTGTCCCCTAGTGTGTGCGTGTGTGTGTGTGTGTGTGTGTGTGTGTGTGTGTGTGTGTGTGTGTGTGTGTGTGTGTGTGTGTGTGTGTGTGTGTGTGTGTTATGCTACTATTGGCCCATACGAGCCCCTTAGTATCCATGCCAATACCTGCCCATAATAGGGGCTTCCCTGTGAATTTTATGATAGGCGGAGTGAACATTGCACGAAGGGAAGGTAAAGGAGGACCTTCCTAGCAGGGAAATACCTGTGAGCCTCGGCTTGGACGGTCTTACTCATAATTCGTGCCTCTTCATCTCGACCTTTGGAAGCTAGCTTTCTCTCTCCCTCTCTCTCTCTCTCTCTCTCTCTCTCTCTCTCTCTCTCTCTCTCTCTCTCTCTCTCTCTCTCTCTCTCTCTCTCTCTCTCTCTCTCTCTCTCTCTCTCTCTCTCTCTCTCCCAATGTAGCCAATCCCCTGCCATGTTAGTCTGCCCCACAGCAAATCCTCAATTATCTGACTGCATGGCGGCCCTGCATTTCGTACACAATGGAATTATCAGTGGATTATGTTAGCCGTCTCTATGATCCAGGTTTTTATGCTTTAATCAGTCACTTTGCTTTCCCCTGTATTTCTAGTCTCCCTCTTTTATGTTTTTCTGTTTGTTTTCATTTTTCTTTATTCATACTCCTCAGATATTCTCCAGATTATCGTTGTTTTTAATGTGGTTCTCGTGTATTTTCATGTGATTTTTCTTTATTTTTATTTCAGCTGTATGTTCTTTATTTCATTATATGTTGTTCTTGTGTGTGTTTGAAGCTCGTAATCCTTCAGTTTGGGAGCACTAAAGATGAATTTTAATCAAGGAGAAGTTGTGAAGTTTGAAGATTAAATAATTGATAATTTACGTGATAATGTCAGTGGGGCTTTTTTTATTATTAATGTGTACTGGCGTTGGTTGGGAGAGCTGAAAGACTTGATCACTGTTCATCTTGTTCACATGTGTTCAGTGTTCGTCATAATTCTCTGTGGTCAAGTGCACCTTTTCTTTGCATTTTGTTGTCGAGTCTTCAAAGTTTATCCAGTATACTGGAAATGTTCATGTTCAAAATGTTCATGTGTGTTCAATACTGATTAGTGGACGGTGTTCCAGGTAAACCATTAATGGTGACCATGATCTATGGTAGGCGGGAAGCTCTCAGCCTGCTACCAGGAGGCAGAAGTCGTCTGTACCCCTGAACCCACCTGTGTGTGGGTACACACACACACACACACACACACACACCACACACACACACACACACACACACACACACACCAACTATGTGTACTTAGGTGGGTACACATACCATCTGTGTGTACCTTAGTGGGTACTGAGTAGAGCCGTAGACCTACCTACCGACCACATAAAAATATAACATATATATAACATAACAGCAATGGTATTAATTAAATTTAAAGTAAATATTATATTTTAAGTGGGTACTATAGTGATTAGCACAACTCCTATCATTATAATCCCAGACGTAAATGTACGTGTTTACGTACATGTACACATAAATGTATTATTATAGTTGCTAGTTAATACAGTATTGAGTACAGAACCCAGATTGGTATATGAATTTATTTACAGAATAAATCCCACTCTCTCTCAGGTTTGCGTTAAGAACTACTGTGATTCTATAATAATGGGTCAGGTTAAGGTAGATAGATTAATTTGTATTTGATTTTATAATTTTAATATTTAGTGGTCTCTCATTAAGTGTTTACACTATTTATTAGTATTAATTTAGCAGCAACATAACCCCTGTAATTCCCGTGAAAGATAAACTGAGGATAAATTCTCACGAACGGGCCTTGAAGTATTTATTAGTGGGTTCGAGTATAAAGTTCTGCACCTCTCCTCGTGTGCAACTTTCACAAGAACACTTTCAACACTTTCTGTTGAGCCTAATTGTGTTCAGCACTTCAGCACACGCCTGAGGTCTTTTGTGATATATTTACAGGTATTTGATTCGATTGAATGAGGCGGTGTAGCTAACTTACTCGTGGTGATCCAAGGACCAGGATTGTTTATGTGGTGAATTTGTTGTTGATTGTGGTGAGCAGTGTGGTGAGTAGTGTGGTGAGTAGTGTGGTGAGCAGTGTGGTGAGTAGTGTGGTGAGTAGTGTGGTGAGCAGTGTGGTGAGCACTGTGGTGAGCAGTGTGGTGAGTAGTGTGGTGAGCAGTGTGGTGAGCAGTGTGGTGAGCAGTGTGGTGAGCAGTGTGGTGAGCAGTGTGCTGAGCACTGTGGGGAGCAGTGTGGTGAGCAGTGTGGTGAGCAGTGTGGTGAGTAGTGTGGTGAGCAGTGTGGTGAGCAGTGTGGTGAGCAGTGTGGTGAGCAGTGTGGTGAGTAGTGTGGTGAGTAGTGTGGTGAGTAGTGTGGTGAGCAGTGTGGTGAGCAGTGTGGTGAGCAGTGTGGTGAGCAGTGTGGTAAGCAGTGTGCTGAGCACTGTGGGGAGCACTGTGGGGAGCAGTGTGGTGAGCAGTGTGGTGAGCAGTGTGGTGAGTAGTGTGGTGAGCAGTGTGGTGAGCAGTGTGGTGAGCAGTGTGGTGAGCAGTGTGGTGAGCAGTGTGGTGAGCAGTGTGGTGAACAGTGTGGTGAACAGTGTGGTGAACAGTGTGGTGAGCAGTGTGGTGAACAGTGTGGTGAACAGTGTAGTGAGCAGTGTAGTGAGCAGTGTGGTGAGCAGTGTGGTGAGCAGTGTGGTGAGCAGTGTGGTGAGCAGTGTGGTGAGCAGTGTGGTGAGCAGTGTGGTGAGCAGTGTGGTGAGCAGTGTGGTGAGCAGTGTAGTGAGCAGTGTGGTGAGCAGTGTGGTGAGCAGTGTGGTGATCAGTGTGGTGAGCAGTGTGGTGAGCAGTGTGGTGAGCAGTGTAGTGACCAGTGTGGTGAGCAGTGTAGTGAGCAGTGTGGTGAGCAGTGTGGTGAGCAGTGTGGTGAGCAGTGTGGTGAGCAGTGTGGTGAGCAGTGTGGTGAGCAGTGTAGTGAGCAGTGTAGTGAGCAGTGTGGTGAGCAGTGTAGTGAGCAGTGTGGTGAGCAGGGTGGTGAGCAGTGTGGTGAGCAGTGTAGTGAGCAGTGTGGTGAGCAGTGTGGTGAGCAGTGTGGTGAGCAGTGTGCTGAGCACTGTGGTGAGCAGTGTAGTGAGCAGTGTAGTGAGCAGTGTAGTGAGCAGTGTGGTGAGCAGTGTGGCGAGCAGTGTGGTGAGCACTGTGGTGAGCAGTGTGTTGAGCAGTGTGCTGAGCACTGTGGTGAGCAGTGTGGTGAGCAGTGTGGTGAGCAGTGTGGTGAGCAGTGTAGTGAGCAGTGTGCTGAGCAGTGTGGTGAGCAGTATAGTGAGCAGTGTAGTGAGCAGTGTGGTGAGCAGTGTGGTGAGCAGTGTGGTGAGCAGTGTGGTGAGCAGTGTAGTGAGCAGTGTGGTGAGCAGTGTAGTGAGCAGTGTAGTGAGCACTGTGGTGAGCAGTGTGGTGAGCAGTGTAGTGAGCAGTGTGGTGAGCAGTGTAGTGAGCAGTGTGGTGAGCACTGTGGTGAGCAGTGTGGTGAGCAGTGTAGTGAGCACTGTGGTGAGCAGTGTAGTGAGCAGTGTGGTGAGCACTGTGGTGAGCAGTGTGGTGAGCAGTGTAGTGAGCAGTGTAGTGAGCAGTGTAGTGAGCAGTGTGGTGAGCAGTGTAGTGAGCAGTGTAGTGAGCAGTGTAGTGAGCAGTGTGGTGAGCAGTGTAGTGAGCAGTGTAGTGAGCAGTGTAGTGAGCAGTGTAGTGAGCAGTGTGGTGAGCACTGTGGTGAGCAGTGTGGTGAGCAGTGTAGTGAGCAGTGTAGTGAGCAGTGTAGTGAGCAGTGTGGTGAGCAGTGTAGTGAGCAGTGTAGTGAGCACTGTGGTGAGCAGTGTAGTGAGCAGTGTAGTGAGCAGTGTGGTGAGCAGTGTAGTGAACAGTGTGGTGAGCAGTGTAGTGAACAGTGTAGTGAATAGTGTAGTGAGCAGTGTAGTGAGCAGTGTGGTGAGCAGTGTAGTGAGCAGTGTGGTGAGCAGTGTAGTGAGCAGTGTAGTGAGCAGTGTGGTGAGCAGTGTAGTGAACAGTGTGGTGAGCAGTGTAGTGAGCAGTGTAGTGAGCAGTGTGGTGAGCAGTGTAGTGAGCAGTGTAGTGAGCAGTGTGGTGAGCAGTGTAGTGAACAGTGTGGTGAGCAGTGTAGTGAGCAGTGTAGTGAACAGTGTGGTGAGCAGTGTAGTGAGCAGTGTAGTGAGCAGTGTGGTGAGCAGTGTAGTGAGCAGTGTAGTGAGCACTGTGGTGAGCAGTGTAGTGAGCAGTGTAGTGAGCACTGTAGTGAGCAGTGTGGTGAGCAGTGTAGTGAGCAGTGTGGTGAGCAGTGTAGTGAGCAGTGTAGTGAGCAGTGTGGTGAGCAGTGTAGTGAGCACTGTAGTGAGCAG